TAAAATATCAACAAGGCATGAAGAAAAAAAAAAGAAAAAAAAAATCGCATGGACAAACCTTTTCCGACATGATTATTCAAATTCACAAATTCCATATGCAGAAAATTTCTATTCTTCAAATTTCGAGGTATTCATACCAATTTCTTTTATCCACAAGTGACATATACATGCATGTGTATTTTTCGTGTCTCCGTCAAAGATTAATAACTATTTGACATTTTCTCCAAAAATGAACTATTCAACTGGTACACCGTACACTTTTATACAATTGAACTTCCATAACTAATATTTGATAAAACTGTTCAAAATAACAATAATACATACTCCCTCCTATTCAAAATAAATGTCGTTTTGAGATGTTGCACAATAATTAAGAATATTTTTATTGTCGATAATAACCCTATTTAATGAAGATAGGAGATGAATGTTTTAAGAGAAAATGAAGAGTGAATATGAAAAAACGTAGTGTATTTATTGACTCAACGAGGGTAATAATAGGAAAAACATGTACAAAAGACCCAAAACGACATTTATTTAGTTAATAGTTGATAAAGCCAAAATGACATTTAAAATGAATAGGAGGTAGTATATTATAATCACAATTCTGAGTTGGTATAATCGTTAGACGGATTGACCCCGTTAATTTTTTTTTTTTTTTATCTAAATGCATATTTATGCTATGAAACGATAGATAATATTATAGATCACAACGCACAAATGTGCAAATAATACAACCTCTAGCTGAATAATTCAATCAACAGCTGAAAAATCTGAGAGGACATGTCAGAAGACCGCCTAAACTGATACTAGCAACGCTAGAAACCAAAAGTCACTACAAACACTAAAAAAAAAAACCACAAAGCTCCCAACAGGGGAATAAACGATCCCAAATGGATAATACCTAATGTTAAAGCAGCCCAAACTGCAACCTTTGTGGCCTGACAATCACCTCACTGAATGAATGCTAATAATAATAGGGGAAAATGCTAAGGTCCCGTTACGCAACCATTCCCTCGGGGTTTGTAACCGTTAGATCAACTATCTCTGACGGTTACATGATGATCTAACGGTTACAAACCCGACGGAATGGTTCCATAACGGGACCGTATCATCTTCCAATAATAGGACCCAACAGGAAGTTAATGAGAAGCTTGTCTTTGCCATGGACTTTTCATGGTCCTAAGTCTTTCTTTTGTTTTTTGTTTTTTCTATTTTATTTATGTCAATTGTGGGATTAGACAGTAAAGGACCGAGTCTAAAAACACTGTAGTAGTAGACTCTCCAGGAATTTTCTTTAGCTGCTTTTTCTTGACACTTTAAAAGCCTGATCAATTAGATTTGTATATATTTTGAGCAACTAATTACTCTCCATTTTGGCGGCCATAGATTCTTGATTTTTTTCTTGTGATTTTTCAGTTTGGTTGCAGGAAATATTTAAAAAAATAAAAAAAAAAGGAAAAATTTAATAATTGAGCAAAAATTGCCACTTTAAGGGAGGCTGATAGCATGATTTTTTTTTTATTGGTGAGTCCTCTGTTTTGATTATTTAGTTCATTAACATGATTGAGTTCTGCTGGCATAATCTCCAAAATTCTTGGAAAATTATGGAAAAACTATTTTTTTTTTTAATTTTAAATTTTCATAATATTCAATTTATTTGATTATTTTCAAAGTAGGAGCTTTATCTTTTGTATGCTTGAATCTGAATAATTTTTTTGCAGGGGCTTGAAATTTACACTATCTGATTGCAAATAAGGATTTTATTTATTTATTTATTTATTTTTTGGGTGTCTTTGAGTCTTTCTTTCCATCCTGGGAAATTTCAAAGCATATCAACTGAAAGAATGAATCTGAGTGAAGAGAAATATGTAAGGTTAGTTCAAGTAAAATCCTCAAGTACTCTTCTTTCTAGCTACCAACTAATTATGTTAACCGGTATGCAATAAACCCGTTTTCTCGTAAAAAATCTCGACCAGGTTCGAAGATTGCGATTCCGAAAAATCCTTCAGCCTCAACTCCACCCCACGCCGTGGCCTAATCCCAATACGAAAACCAAGAATAAGCTCGATTATCGATGGGATTAGAAGTGGTGTTAGTAGAAGCTCTAAAAGAATAAAAAGCTTGAGAAATTGGTCCTTGCATGGCTACTACTATTCACCGAGCAATAGCAAGCCGACAAAAATGACGAAGATTCTCGATCCTCAAGAGCCCTTTCTTCAGAGATGGAACAAAATATTCGTGCTCGCCTGCATTGTTGCCGTCTCGCTCGACCCACTCTTTTTCTACATTCCGGTTGTGGATGGTGAGAGGCGGTGCCTTTCCCTCGACAAGAGGCTTCAGATCATAGCTTGTGTTCTTAGGACGTTTATTGACTTCTTTTACGTGTTTCACATTTATCTCCAATTCCGGACCGGTTTCATTGCACGATATACTATGGTGTTCGGGAGGGGCGAGTTGATCGTCGATCCTAAAGCAATCGCGAAAAGATACTTGTCGTTTTATTTCATCATCGACGTTTTGTCGATTGTTCCTCTCCCACAGGTTCGGTTACACTACAACTACTTAACTTTTTTTCTTCGACAATTTGTAGCTTAATTCTAAAGTTGAAACAAAACCAGGTGGTAATTCTAGCTGTGATTCCATGGTTACACGGCCCGATTTCTCTGGTGACTAAGGACCTGGTGAAGGCTGTTATATTCGTTCAGTACGTTCCGAGAGTTTGGCGAATATATCCGTTGTACGAGGAGGTGACAAGAACTTCCGGGATATTCACCGAGACGGCATGGGCCGGGGCTGCTTTCAATCTCCTTCTCTACATGCTTGCTAGTCATGTAAGTTTCTTGTGGTTCACAGTTGGAAAATGCATGGCATTTTGTGTAGTAACATTGAAAAAAACTGTTTTTTCAGACGATCGGAGCCATATGGTACATGATCGCGGTCGAGCGCAGAGACCGGTGCTGGCGCCAGGCGTGCCGCCATCACGGTGGCTGCAACTTAAACGATCTCTACTGTGGCGGAGTAGTTCACGGCAACACTTCCTTTCTGAGTTCGTATTGTCCACTGCTCGAGCCGGATAAGATAACCAGCCCCAACGAGTTCGATTTCGGCATCTTCCTCGACGCACTCCAGTCCCAGGTGGTCGAACACAGAGACTTCCCCAAGAAACTTCTGTACTGCTTTTGGTGGGGTCTGCGCAATTTGAGGTCTGTTAATGGCTCATTGCTTCACTTGATCTGCCGGGTTTTTGTTACGAATGTTTTCTATTGACTTCTTTGTGAATTTCTTTCTCTCTCGGGTAACAGCTCACTGGGCCAGAATCTGAAAACAAGCACTTTTGTGGGGGAGATTCTTTTTGCTATCTTCATCTCCATTGTTGGGCTGGTTTTGTTTTCCCTGCTCATTGGGAACATGCAGGTATGGGTTTGCACACAACTTGTTCGATATAACGTGCCATACGAAATTTAGAGTAATTGTGCACTGGGAGTGTGTCTGTGTTTTCTTAACCCGTGCCGTGATGTGTACTTTTTATCAAAATGGTATACTTGTTTCATTCATATATTTCTTCTGAAATTGTTAAAAAGTGATGCTATTGCTAGCTCATATAGTATATAGAAGCTTGTAACCCCTAAACTTTCTTCATTTGTTCTGTCTTTAAATTTACATGTATTTGTTGTTGCAGAAATATTTACAATCAATCACAGTAAGGGTTGAGGAAATGAGGGTGAAAAGGCGAGATGCCGAGCAATGGATGTCTCACCGTATGCTTCCCGAGGATTTAAGAGCACGCATAAGAAGATACGAGCAGTATAAATGGCAACAAAACAGAGGGGTTGACGAATATTCTTTGATCCGTAACCTTCCAAAGGACTTGAGGCGGGACATCAAGCGTCACCTCTGCTGGACTTTGCTCACAAGAGTTAGTATACTATACTCTTCGGTCATCATCACTTCATACTTATCTTTGGAGTTTTGGCAGAAGCTACCCCGATGTTTTATGAACAACCTAATAATTCACCCCAATATTCTCTCTTTCGAAACAATCAACTTTAATTTAGCTTCTATGTATAGGTGCCGATGTTTCAAAAAATGAACGAGCAGCTGCTAGACGCCATGTGTCATCACCTGAAGCCGATCCTATACACAAAGGACAGCTATATAGTCCGCGAAGGGGACCCCGTGGACGAGATGCTCTTCATAATGAGGGGCAAAATATATACGATGACCACCAATGGCGGCCAAACGGGCTTTTTCAACTCTACTTATCTAAAGGCGGGTGACTTTTGTGGGGAGGAACTCCTGACGTGGGCCCTCGACCCAAACTCCTCGACCACTCTTCCTATCTCGACCCGGACTGTGAGGGCTGTCAAGGATGTCGAAGCCTTTTGTTTGATGCCCGAAGACTTGAAAAGTGTCGCATCCCAATTCAGGCGCCTTTTCCAAGGCAAGCAGCTTCAGCACATTTTCAGGCGAGTTTTTATTTTCTTCATCTTTTGACAAGATTTTCATGAGTTGGCTGTAGGGGAACAGAAGCGAAACCATATAAAAAAAAATCGATAACTTCAGTCAATCTCAAATGCTAACTAGATGTAATGTAAACATTGTGTCAAACTCAAATCCTCAAAACTAATACTCTTATCACATTTTGTTGTGAAAGACATCAGATGAAGGTAGGTGTTGTCATGATCTACATATCCATTTAATTTTTACTGTCTTGTAGCATAAACATTAAATTGCATCTTAGTAGCATTGAAGATGCTCTTGGAATGGTATGCTTGAGCAATCAGTTAAAAATTCCAGCCAATATTTAAAATTTTCTGACTCGATCGCTCATCGATACTTCTCTCAGTACTGATAATGAAAAAAAAAGAAGAAAAAAATGGAAGCATCAAACAAGCAATTGAGTCCAGAACGGCGAAAAGACGCGATTAAAAAATATGACTTGTTAACATTTTGTACATTTTTCTTGTTATAAATTCGTCAATACTGTTTCTATAATCACAAGTGGTTATGTAATTTCGTTCAGGTCGTCATCCCCACAGTGGAGGACGTGGGGTGCCTGCTTCATACAGGCGGCTTGGCGGCGGCACTGCAAGCAGAAGATTGAGAAATCTCTCCAAGAGGCTGAAGATATGCTGAAAAACCAGCTCCCAGAAGGCGGGAACACAACGAGCCTTGGTGCCACCATTTATGCATCGAGATTTGCCACTCATATGCTAGGGAACTTAAAACGCAATCGACCCCACATTAACACCAAGCCCTCGACAACCAGATTATCACCTCTGCTGCCGCAGAAGCCGGCTGAGCCCGATTTCAGCGCACAAAACCGGTCATAGAGACACCCGTGAGGGATTGCGTACTAATGACTAGAGGCAAACTGAGTACGAGTTCATCTTTTTTTTTTTTTTACTGTATATTTCTATGCCGTTTTGTTCCCTGACTTGTGTAGATATCGAATAAGTCCTGGGAGGATGATTTTGTTTATTCGTTTTGTACGTAAACTGTCCTCGTTTATTCTTCTTTGAGCATCCAACAATTTCAAGGGAATTTATTTAGGCTCATTGCATCTTTCGGATCTATAACTTGCTATAACTTTAAACTTCCATGATGTTAAACAGGGAGGAAAGCCACTGAGTAACATAGTTGCTATAATACTTGGCTGTCCTTTTATCACATGTGATAAGTCTTAAGAATTCTCAAACACTTCACTTGTGGTATTCATTCTTGGGATAAATGCAGGTGCAGTGCATCAACATGAATAACAAGAAATGTATGTCATGTAAAACTATGGAAACATCAGAAAACAACACATAATAGAAACTCAAAAATCCATCCAAAAGACAAGTGAAACGCAACAGAAACAACCAATTACCAGTTATAATGGGGAAAAAACGTCCTAAGAAACAATAAATTACAAAAAAAATATATGACGACAAAGCACGTATGGCTATCTCGGCGATCTACAATTTCACAGTGCCAAAAGCTAACCAGAACAATTCTTTCTAAGTAAACAATGATATTTCATTTTTCAGCAAACCGCTTATTTGGGAGCATCTCTAACGCAGTGTTTGGTTCGGGGGGAAACGGAGAAAAGGGGAAGGGAGGGGAGAGGAGGGGAGGGGAGGAAATTTTTTTATTTTTGTCATGTTTGGTTCAATTATTTGTAGGGGAAGAGGTTAGGATTTTCCCTTCAAATCCCTCCTCCAACGGAAAATACTCTTCCCTCCAAAACTGGGGGAATTTGGAGGAAGGAAAAAATATTAACAACAAATTACTCTTTTGACCTTAATATGTGAATTGTTTTATTTTTTGTTTCTTACATCATTAAGGGTATAACTGTAATTTTATAATATTTTCTTTCTCTTCCATTTTTCTAACCAAATAAGGTTTACCATTTTACTTCCACTCACCTCCTACAAAATCCTTCCAAACAAGGTAAAATTATTTTATTCACCTCCAATCCCCTCACCTCCCTTCCATTAAAATTCTTCCCCTCTCTTTCCTTGAACCAAACATAAGGTGTGGTCTCGAGAAGGAGGAGCCTAGTCAGCGTACCCCACATTTCAGCCCTCTCATTTGAAGTTCCACCTTCAGTCGCTCCATGCCAATGACCTGGTATTATATGTGAATGTATATGTTGATATTTGCACATGGTTAATACATTCTAACTTTTGGGGTTAAATATAATCTTAGATAAAAACAGCGCAACTGCTTCTGTATTCTTGTAACATCGGTTGCTGCAAACCTGCAAGAGGAAAAATAGCAGAAAATGGAGGAGCAATATGATGTTTCAAACATCACATCAACGAAAGAAATCTGGTCCAAAAAAAAAAAAAAAATCGAAATGGATTCAATGTGTTTGAATCTAGTAAAAGATAATGATAATTTTCATGAAATTGGTAAAAAGATGGTGCCTAGAAGAAAAACCCTACGAAGTAAGTATTTCGAATTTATTTCTTTGTTTCTCTTTTTTATGCGGGGGGTAAATGTGATTCTGAATTTTATTTTTGTGCTTAACTGAAGGTATAATTAACATATGAGTTTGGATTGTGTATTTTTTATTTTGTATTTTTTCGTTGAAGTTCTATGTCCACATACTTGTATATATGTAGGAGAAACGTGTGGTTGGTTGTGTGGAAGATGTAGTTTTTGAAAATTCTTCAAATACTAACAAGGAAATTGTGGACGATGCGATGCAGATAACTCTATATGTAGCAACTAGAAATCAATTGACGAACCAAGAATTGAATGATTTTTGATACTCTTGAAGTCTTGATGAAGCATGGGATGGTTGGTAAAATTATGGGAAGCTAATGGGATTTGGGGTTAGAATCGCAACAAAAGCTAAAAGGATAAGGGATATAATAATGCAATTTTTGTTTGTCGTAAGAAGGGTAGAAGAGCTTAAAATAAAAGGAGGGTGGGAAACCTACATCGATGGAAAGAACGTCATGCAAGACTAAGTTAAATGTTGTTTTGGAGAGGTCAATTAGAAAGTACAAGATTAAAGAAATCATTGCAGAACATAATCATGAACATGAGCCTGCAGAAACAAGTCATATTCTAAGATCCCATAGGCATGTGAGTCGGGCCGCTGCTGCTTTGATTTGGCACATGATGTTGGACTCACTCCAAAAGCAACACATCACTTGGGAAATAGAGGAGCGAGAGGTTGGAATAAAATCGGATACATATTGAAAGATCAAAAAACTAAATGGCACTCGAGAATAAAACAAACATAGTGTATGATAAGTTGGGAAGTAAAATTCTATACTTTGAACAGATAACACGTAAAGACCCTTCATTTTTTTTATTCAATGTTATTTGGTGATGATTTAGTCACTAATATATTTTAGGGTGAATTGAGGATGATTGTTGATTATAGTAATTTTGGTGATGTAATTACATTTGACACAACTTATGGTACAACCAAATAATTGAGGCCCTTTGGTGTATTCACAATAATTAATCATCACATGCAATTGTAATTTTTAGTGGTGCACTTTCGTATGATGAGACTGATGATTTATTTGTTTGGGTTTTTGAAATGTTCTTGAATGCTAATGGAGGTAAAGAGTCACGAACCTTTTTTATGGATCAAGATGCGCTATGGTGAATGATTTGGCAAAAGTATTAAAAAATATACGACATGGCTTCTACACATGGCACTTGAATCATAATGGGATCAAACATTTGGGTGGGCGCATGAAAGACGAATCTTCATTCCTAACGGAGTTTGAGAGTTGTATGTTTGAATATCTAAAAGAGGGTGATTTTGAAAGACAACGGAAAAAATACTTGATAATTATGATCTGTGCGATAATAAATGGCTATCGCGTATGTATGGTCTGAAAGAGAAGTGGGGCAAATATTACATGAAGTATGCATTTAACTTAGGAATATAAGATTGAGTGAGAGTTTGAATAGTGATTTGAAATTGTATTTAAAATGTGATATGAATACTTCTGATTTTTTTTTTTTTTCAAATAGTTTGGTAGGATTATGGATGAAAAAAGGGAGCGGGAGCTTAAAGCCTACTTTGATGCGAGACAGAAGATACCTCCATTTGAAACATATGATTCCTTGATGTTGAGCAAGTGTCACAATTATACACTCTTGATATTTTTTACACTCTTTCAGACTGAACTTTGTGCTACTTTAAGAGTGATGATAAAAGAAAAAGATGAGACTCAATGCCCACTTGAATATGTGGTTTGTCTTCATGGTACAAGAGAAGATGAGATGAAAGTACTTTTTGATCCTATAAAAGATTGGGTCGTCTGTACTTGTATAAAGTTCGAAATTATGAGAATATTGTGTTGACATATTTTGAAAGTATTTATTGTTAATGTGATGTGCATTCTACAAAAGTACATATTGAGCAGGTGGACAAAAGGCGTGAAAACAACCCTTGAACAAAGAAAATTCCCATGGTGCAGAAGATGTTGGGGAATGGGTCCGAAGGTTTTAATCTCAACTCATATAGATGACACTTCAAGCTTCTGTCCATTAAGAGGAACAAAGTCATGGAGAAAATGGTGCAAGAATGTAATAAGCAAATTTTTACTTTTGCAACAAAAAAGGAGATATCAAATGAAGAAATTCATTCGTCCAACGTAGATGGAATAATTGAAACTATGAAAGCTTGAAAAAATAAAGGGAAAAAATGAGAACCATTCAGCCAAGAATTGGGTTAAAAACATGTTTGGAAGTTCAAAAAATCAAATTAATTAAAAGAGGTACTCGTGATATTTTATATGTTTGATAGATTACATTGTTACATTTAATGTTATTCTATTTTATAATGTTTCCCTGTTGTCATAAAGCTTTGTCGGTCAGTGGCTAATTCACAAGAAATCTGGATATTCTAGAGTAGCAGTGCACTATCAAGAATATGTGAATGAAGATGTCGTTTTATCTCATTTAGCGGTATCTGAAACGGTCCATTTATCTCAAAACTAGACAAGTACGTGCTCTTAAATAAAAAACACTATAATCACCATATTTTTGTAACTTTGATTTGGTTATTTGTTTGTTGCAGTTTACAAGTACTCCAAGAATGTGAGTCTAAAGCTATTTTTTGAGACTTGTAATGTACTCTTTCGTGTATGAGAAGATGGTAGAGAACTTTAGCGGGAAATAAAAAATAAAAATAATTGGCTATATAATAAATACCGAGGCCTGTGTGAACACAATGTCCTTAAACAGATTCGTCGCGTATGAGCGTCTGCTTCCCAGGATACAACAGAAAACCGAACCAAATCTGGCGAACTGAAATTATGTTTGGACCAAAACTCTATAAAAAAAAATGGGAAAAAGGACTTTAACAATCTTTTTTGTTCTTTTTCGTGTCTTCCATCAAAAGAAGACAAGTCTTCTTATATAGGCCTAAGATAGCCACATTAAATAATTAATTCATTTAACTATAAACTTAATTCTTGTAATTACAAGAACAATATTACCAAAAGCCAAGTTACAATTTTTTCTTAAAAGTGGAAGACACATTTCAAATTAATTTTTCTTTTCAGTTACAAATTTCATTCACAAATTTTCCAATATTTCCCCACATGAATGAGATTAAAAAATAATGTTATGGTCCAACAGTTGAAATATGCATAGGATAGGTAGGTGCTACCTTTTGATGTTTCTCTTCTGAAAATAAAACTTTACTAGCTGACCAGTGTAAAAGATTAATGTGCTTCACAAATAATTCTCCCTAACATATTCGAGCTCTCATTCTTATGTCCATTGATGGTCTTGGACATAGTCTGGTTCTGTAAGAGGATCCAAGATTGGAGCCTCACACAATCCTCTTCAAAGCGGCCCCACTTATCTC